CAGCACCTGACCGGGGGGCTCATCGACCCCAAGAGGACAGGCCGCATCCCTGTCCCGCAGGCTCTGCTCTCCGGAATGATCAGCGAAGACCTGGCCCAGCTCCTGCAGGATGAGTCCAGCTACGAGAAGGATCTGACAGACCCCATCTCCAAGGAACGGCTGAGCTACAAGGAGGCCATGGGCCGCTGCCGGAAAGACCCCGCGAGTGGCCTGCTGCTCCTCCCAGCGGCGCTGGAGGGGTACCGCTGCTGCTACCGCCCCACCTCCCCCACCGTCCCACGCTCCCTTCGCTGACGCAGGCCAGGCAGCCGGGGCAGTGTGTGTGCTGGGCAGGGTCGGGTACACACACCCCTCGCCCCCAGAGCAGCCTAATCCCAGGCAGTGGGTCTTCCCTCTGCCCGACCGCTGTTTTATTACTTTATTACTCATTTGTGGTGTTGGCCTCCCCCGAACCTTGGTGCCTGACCCACCCCCAGACCAGGAGAGCAGCAGCTCGGGTCTTCCTCCTCCTCCCCCACCCAGTGATTCCAATAAACGAATTCTCCCCGGGCCGTGTCTCCTTCACCTTTGGGGACGCAGGATCCATTCGTCTGGGGTGTGAGCTGAGGGGCAGCACTGCTTGGGCCCACCCGCAGGTGGGGAATGGACGTGCCCCACGGGCCTGCCTGGGAAACGGCGAGAGGACTGTGGTTCCCTCGACTCTGGGCAGGGATGCGGTGGCGGGTCACACAAAGAGATCAGGGAACACCCTGGCTCTCCTCCCTGCCCTCTCAGTTTCCCCACCGTCTCAGGCCAGGACTGTCTCCAGCCCTCTGTCAATGTCCCCCTTGTCGACAAGCCCAGGTGTCCCCCATGAGCAGAACACCACCAGAAAACTTAGAATGTATCCCGTTTATTTTCTGTTCGTCAAGCCAGAAGAAAACCAACATAAGCATATCTTAGGTGAAATGACAACTCCGTAGAACAGCCACACACGCCCTGACCTCTCCTCAGGAAAACACCCTGTCCATCCTGTTTAACCTGGGACTCAAACACTTTAAATCCAAAACGACCAGCAGGGGGCGCCCCTTCCTCGGGGTCTGGAGTCTGGCTCTGCAGCTGCGGCCCGCAACCAGGCAGGCCCCTGCTCTCTACGTGGCATCTGTTGTTCCAGTGCCAGGGGACCGGTCTCTAACGTACCCCCTCGTATGTGGAGCATCTGGGCCCCTATTCTGAAACGGCACCGTTAAACCCAACAAACAACAAAACTCTCTAACCTGCAGGCAGGACTAACCCACGATCGGCTCTCTGCTTTGCTCCCTCCCAGATTTGTTCTGCCCTCGGGAATGGGTGGGGAGGCAGCTGGGGCAGCAGCTGCCCGCGAGGACCCGAGGGGTGGGCCTTGACGTTCTCAACGGCAAAAACGCTCCAGCACACACTGGCGGGCGGCCGGGGAGGACTCCGGGGAGAAGTACGGGTGGGCCAGGGCAGCCTTGGCTGAGATCCGCCGGCTGGGGTCGTATTGCAGGAGTTGCTGGGAGGAAGGAGGAGGAAAGAGCCTGGGCTGGGTGCGGCCAGGGTGGGGACAGGAACACCCCACCCCCAGGTCCTGGGGGAGGGCCCCAAGCCCCAGAGCAGCTGTCCTCAAACCCAGAACCGCACACAGCCACCGCCTCCCAGCTCTCAAGCCAGTCCTGGACACTCCTAGAAGCTGAGGACAAAGAGTTAGTTCTAGTCCAGCCCTGAGTCACCCAGGTCTCCCCAGGTTACTGCAGCTGAGTCAGCCCCCCTTCCGTGGGGAGGGCTCCAGTCCCTGCTCCGGGCTGAGAAGAGCACGGACGTCCCTCGTGCACGGGAAGCAGGGCCCAACCTGTCCAGGGAGCACAGGAATCCAAAGAGCAGGGGAGAGGAGGCGGCGCCACCGCTGCAAGTGCCCAGGCTCGCCCAGCTCTGCCCTACGGCCCCTGAACCCGCAGGATGCGCAAGGACCCCCCACCGTGGAGGAGCCTGGCAGGAAGAGAAGAGCTTTGGCAGGAAGCGCGCGCCGTCCTGCTGCCGTCAGGTTGGCAGACGACACACAGACTTCCGGAAGGCTGGACGCACAACCTGAAGATGAACACACTGACCTGCCTCCCTCTGACCCAACGCTAGATTAAGGGGAGAAATGTGCCCCGGACACTGTGTGGGCCCGAACAATGGCTCTGCCCGCGACCTTCTGGGCAGTCGGCCTGGGCCAGCCTGAGGGGTCAAGATGGTGCCACAGGAGGGGTGAATGAGGACGTGGCAGCGTGGCAGGGGCCAGTACGGTACCCCCAGAAGGCGGGGAATGGCCTGTTCTGAATAGCCTCATGTGAAGACTAGCCACTGTGGGAGGCCCTGGGGACCTCAAAGCAGTGGGAGGTGTGGCCTCTGCCGGGGGGAGCGTGCAGCTGAGATGGGGCAACAGGGCCCGCAATGGGATAACCAAACACACAAGCAACTGGGGGAAAGGGCAAGTGTCACAGCACAAGACACAGCCGCCAGCTGAGAGAATGTTTAAAAGGGAAGATAAACATTGGGCTTATCATTGGGGAGGCCTCCAGGTCGAACAATCAATACACCAAAGGACAAGCCAATCCTATACAAGGGCCAGGAAAGAGGCCAGCTTGGGCTCAGAAAGAGCCAGGGTTATACAAGTGGCTGGCTGACAAAAGGGTCACTCTAGCACTAAAACAAGGAGGCTTTTCTTGCCCACCTTTACCTACCATGAGCAGGTCCTTGCCCTCTGGCTCCAGATTGGGCACAATCTCCTCCAGCCCCTTGCTGGTCCACTTGGGGAAGCTGCCCTTATAGTCAGGCAGCTGGGTGACCCCAGGCCACGTGGCCTCACTGGGTGTCCCCAGGGTGCGAAAGATACGAAAAAGTTGGTCAATCTCAGAGTCACCAGGAAACAGGGCTTTGCGGGTCACCTGGAATGGGGAAGAAGAGAAGATGTGGGGTCCCCCCCTCTGTCATATAGAATCCAATGGCACATAAGTGGCCAGAACCAGTGAGAGACCATCAAGATATCTTTCCCAGGGCTGTGCAAAGAATTCTAGCCTTTTCTGGAATAAGGCTGGCTTCCTGAATCCTTTAGCCATTCCCGAACACCCTTTAATCCACCTCTAACAGAAGCATCAGTGAAGCCCCTAAACCCCCCGCCGTGGGACCCTGCCTGTGGCCTCCTGTGGCCACACGTGTCTCCCTCTCTACCATCTCCGCAAAGATGCAGCCAATGCTCCAGACATCCACAGCTGTCGAATAGAACTTGCTGCCCAAGAGGATCTCAGGGGCACGGTACCACAGTGTCACCACCTGTGGGGCAAGAAAACAGCCTCATTCAGGGTGGCTGAGTGCATGGGTGACATTCCTTCAGCTGCCCTCCTCTCCTCTCTGTCCCGTAATACCTCGTGGGTGTAGGTGCGCAGGGGCACCCCAAAGGCTCGAGCCAGGCCAAAGTCAGCCAGCTTGATGGCACCCAACTCATTGATGAGCAGATTCTGTGGCTTCAGGTCTCTGTGGATGACCCGATGAGAGTGGCAGAAATTCACCCCCTGCAGCAGCTGGAAGAGGTAGCTCTGCAGTGACGAGCATGAGGGGGATCTGGCTGAGCAGGCGCCGGCTGGGCGGGGAGGTCCCCTCTCCTTCCCCGGCCTCCCCTCTGTACCTTGACTAAGTGCAGGGGGAGCTCGGAGGCTGGGGTGGAGTCCATGTACTTCTTCAGGTCCTGGCTCAGGAACTCAAACACCAGGTAAAGCTTCTTCTCACTGTGCACCACATCCAGCAGCCTGGCGGGGAGACGGCGGTCAGGACGCGGACTTCACCGTCCCAGCATCCCTGCCTCCTTCCCCGACCCACCTCACGATGTTGGGGTGCTTCAGCTCCTTGAGCAGGGAGATCTCCCTGATGGCAGTGCTTGGGACGCCCTCGGTCTCCCTGCAGGAAACAAGGGGCCAGCCGTGGCGTGGCGGCAGGAGCCAAGAAGGGCACTTCTGGCCAGGGGGATTAATACCCGTCCCTGCACGGATGGCCCGCCCCTGGCGATGGGGACCTGTGCTCCTCGGCCCATACTGCTCACCCTCCAAGCTCCACAGAGCAGGGCCCAGGCCAAAGGTGAGCTGGGGTGACAGGTGGGGGATGCACCTTTGTGGCCGCCCCAGTATACCTGGGCAGCAGCCGGAAAAGGAAAAAAGTTGAGTGTGAACCCCGAGACAAGGAATGAACAGGGGGGAGCTGCCAGGCTGTGGGTGGCCCAGGGCAGGGTGTCTCAGGGGCTGACCCCGCACTCACAAATCCAGCCTGATCTTCTTGAGGGCCACCAGCTGCCCTGTCTCCTTGTTCTTGGCCTTATACACTACCCCATAGGTGCCCTCTCCGATCTTCTCCACCTTCTGGAACACATCCATGTCGGCAGAGCTGCCTGGGAAACAGATGGCGCCGGCCATTCGCGCCCCACGCCCAGCGCCTCCGCCGCCCCCTACAGCCCCCACATGCCACCCTGCCCAGCCCCCGACAGGCTGCCCAGCTCCCAGGGCTTGTGCCAGGGCCCCCTGAGGCTGCCCCTTGCCCAGCACAGTCCAGACCCCCAGGCCTCTTGCCCAGTGCCCGGGCGGGAGCCAGCTGCCCCTGTGCCCGGCTACAGCGCGCAGGAAGGCCCAGACTTCTCCTGCCTGAGCCCCAGCCTTGGCCCAGCCAGGCTCCGGGGGCACAAGTCTGCCTGGAAGGGCCACCCAGGGGCCAAGGACAGCTCAGCGCTGAGATGAGGGGTTGGGAAGGGCCTGAAGCCACAGTCCTGCCCTAGGCCGCATGGTCACAGCCCAGGGCCTAGGCCCAGACTGTCTGGCGACGCTTGGCCGCCTCTGAGGGCAGCACCTGACGGGGGCGGCCCCCCTGCATCCTGGGCCCCCCACCCGCTCCCCGCACCCAGTCCCCGCACCCTCCCCTCAGGCCCCAGCCCAGAATTCACCAGAAGGCCTGAGCTGGCTGCAGCCTCCCTGCCGGGCTGCCTGCTCCACGGCTCCCCCTCCTGGCCCCGGCCGGCGCTGCACCACGTGCACACAATGCAAAGTCACGCCCACTGGGCCTTTATTCACGACGACCTTCTGGAACCCTCCATGACCCCACGCAAGGCACAGCCCCAGTGCCTGGAACTCAGCCACCTGCAGTCTCCTGGGGGTGGGGGCATCAGGTTCAGGGGCCTGCTTTCTGGGTTCTCATTTCTGGGACAATTCCAAATTAGGGGAAGGGGCTGGATTATCCACCGGGCCCTCTACTCTGGCTCCAGACAAAGGCTGTTACTCAGGAAGCGCCTACACCTCTGTGCAGCTCCCAGGGCTCCAGTGGGTTTGGCCTCAGGAGCAGCCGTCGGGGGTGTTGTCAGGGGCTGCCATTTCCCGTGGGCCGCTGCCCCTCTCCTGCTGGTACCGCCTCTGCTCCTGGATGGCTTGCTCCAACAGCGGCAGATTCATCCCTTCCACACAGGTCAGGACTCGGGCCTTCACCACGGGGCCTCCATCTGAAAGACACAAACACCACGACCCCTGTGTCAGCAACGTACTGCACAGATGCATTCTAGCCGTTTCCCTCAACTTGCTCAGTGCTGAGGTGTTTTGTGTTCGTTTGTTTGTTTTTGAGACAGGGTCTCCCTCTATCACCCAGGCTGGAGTGCAATGGCATCATCATAGCTCACCGCTGCAACCTCAAACTCCTGGGCTCAAGCGATCCTCCTGGCTCAGTCTCCCAAGTAGCTAGGGCTACAAGTGTGCACCATGACGCCTGGCTAATTTTTCAATTTTTAGTAGAGATGGGGTCTCGCTCTTGTTCAAGCTGGTCTCAAACTCCTGACCCCAAGTGATCCTCCCTCCTCGGCCTCCCAGAGTGCTAGGATTATAGGCCTCAGTCCTAAGTTTGGGCAGCAAGGGGTGGGGGCAGGAAGGATGGCACATGGGATGGTGGCAATTTGTCTACTGTGGGCCTGTCACACTGCAGGCACACATCTGGAAATTAGCTGATAGCCTAAAAATTCCAGTTCTCCAAGGAAGGAGGGCCAGGAAGATGTACCCTTTACTTCCCTCCTTGGCCACCTTAATTCCAGCTACCTTCTTCTTAGGTCCCAAATGCCCAACCACCATCCTGGCTCTCCAGCTGTACTGAGGGAAGGGCCCTCTTGGCTCCCATTGTCATTGGAAATGGGGGCAAAGAGACACTCATGGTTAGTAAATCCGAGGGACTGAGCTCCAGGTGAGGCAAGTCACCCCACCCTGGACGGGGGGCTGAGGGGGCTTCTAGGAGACGTGGTGGTGACGTGATACCTAATGGAAAAGTTTGTCAATGTTCAGGTGGCATCAAACAGGACACCTAGGGTTTGCCCTAACAGATTTTTTTTTAAAAAATTCACTCATGTTCTCTGCTCTCTGGGCACTTCGATGAATACATTCAATGTTCTAGAAGAAAAAACAAACAGCTTGGTTTTCTAAATTAAAAAAATATATACACATAAAACACATTCAGAAATTCAAACTAAGTGAAAGAAAAAAAAATAAACAGCTTGGTTTTCTAGATTTAAAAAAAAAAAAGCAATGTTCTAGGACATTACCCTGTCTTCTCTTCATGCAATTTGAGATAGAGGCTCTCTGGCTAGATATAGTCCAGGTATCTAACCCTTCCTTCTAGTCTTGGCCAGTTTTCATTTTAACACAGCCTGTGGGCAGAATTCAGAGCATCAAACTGCCTAGCTTCCAGCCGTCTACACAGGCTGCCCTTGGAAGATGAACTAGTCTGAAACACCAGCTTGCCTGTGTGGTAGCAGCTCCCACCAACCCGAGCGCTGGCCCGCAGAAACCGCACGGCTGAGAGAGGAGTGGGGGGGTGACAACACCCGGACCTACCGATCAGTGTAGACTGACAGTTCTCATCGCACGGGGCATCACTCGCCCCATCTTCACTTGGCACTGACACACACGGCCCTGAGTAGTTGTCACAGAGCAGCTGCACGTGTTCAGGACAACACGGGAGAACAAGGACGAGGCGAGAGAGCTCCAATTTGCAGGGGGAGCTGTTAAAATCTCAAAATAGGGTCCTATGTCAAATGTTTCCAAACTTCCTGTATGAAGATTTTCTTAGGTATCTGACTAAATTTCACAGAACTTTCCTGATAGTATTCCTATCAGCTTTCGCCTCCCACAGCCTGGGGAAACCCTCCTCTCTAGATTTATATGGTGGAATATGCTGCTTCTCCCTGTGAATGGAAAAAAGTTATCAAATGTGGAGTGAGCTTTAGAAATACGATGACCACAAGGGACAAAGTGGGCGAAGCTGTGAGTCCATCTGCGAAAGGAATGAAGCGTTGGAGGGGCCTTGGGGAGGGGCAATGGCGTCCATGGCTGAGACAGCTGGAGAGAGGGTCATTTAGGGATCTTCTTGCAAAGATAAAGGGCCTGCAGCCGGGTTACGAAGCGCGGTCAGGAGGCACCGGGGTGAGGTGCAAGCAGGATAAGGAAGGGGCGATATGAGAAGGGACCTTCTTTTAGGAAGCCCGGGAAGGGAAGGAAGGTGATGCCAGGTGGTGGGGACACAGCACAGAAGAGGACTCATTACTGCCATTATAATTTCAACACAGAAGAGGCCTCAGCGCCTTCCACGTGGAGGGAAGAACCAGTGGTAACCGAGGGACCCCTCTTCCTCTCAGACCGGAGGGAAGGAGCTAATGCGGGGTGTGGACACGTGTGATTTCAGGAGGTGGGACCGCTGCCTGTGGCCTCAGTTTTAGCGGGGATATAAGAGGTAAGGTAAATTGCTGGGAGGGACAGGGAGGTGAGGAAGTGGGGTCTTACGTGGAGGTGAGTGCCTCAACTAGCTGTGGTCAGGCCGGCGAGGGGGTTGAGGACACATGGAAGCGTTTCTAGGTGGTGGGGAGGCAGTGAGACCTTGAAATCATCGTGCCCTGACTCCACGGAGCTTCGTGGTCTTTCTGCACACAACAGTCTGGCGGCACCCGAGAGGGCGGAGGCTGCAGTTCCCCCGGGCAGGAGAGATGGGAGGCGGGGGAAACTGCTGGGGAAAAGCAGCTGAAATGGCAGTGAGGCCCAGCAAGGCCGGGGTCGGGGAGAAAGGGGGAGAAAGCCCTGAGTCCCAAGTCCACCGGCCCTGGCGGGGTGAAGGGCGCAGGAGGAGGCAGAGGGCAGCAGTGAGAGCAGAAGGTGCGGGTCGGCCGAGGTGTGGCAGCGGGTGTGGGCGGCAGAGGTGCTGTGGCAGGACTGGCAGGCTGCAGGAGGTGGCGAGATGTGAGGAGATAGTGCAATGACAGGATCCTGGCCCTGCTTCTGGCTCTGTGGGGTGTGTGGCTCCGGAACCTGAGCGCGCTTCCCAAGGGAGGAACCGCTGGCCTGGGGCCAAGCTGGGATTCAGGCGAGTCACAGCACACACAGGAAGGTTTCTGAGGACAGGGAACAAGGTCAGGTGGGAGAAAACCAGAAGGGGGCGGGATTCATGGCGAGAGCGTGATACGAGAGCCTCTGGGGCAGGGCTGCGGAAGGGCTGCGCCCAAAACTTTAACCCCCAGACAATGGACAGGACGCCCACCGGCCCTTGGATGGTGCCAGCAGAAGGTGACGCGTCCCAGAAATTTCATCATGTGGCTGGTATTTCTTCACCTTTTCGGTCATCTTATACACAAAAATTTCAGAAAGGTTACTTTAGGTGGCCTCTCTCCTGTCCCTGATCAGAACTGTTGGCTTGGTCACAGGGCAGGGTCCATGTCTGATCGACCTTTGTGTTCATACAGGACTTTGGGCCTGGCACAGGGAGGTTTCAAGCAGCCACACAGTGTCCCCCGCCCCGGCCAGGGGTCAGGGCGGCCAGCAAGCGCCATG